TTTTACAGCTCCACCGTTGGCCTCCGCTCGATCAGAATAAACGCAGTCCTAATACGCCGCGGGACATTCTCCGTTGCCGAGATGGGTGTAATTTGACGCCGACTCAGAGGAAAGGTGGGTGGCCTTCAAATCCAGTCTATCATTCCCGACCAACCATTTGCCACCTATGTACCACCGGGAAGATTCTTTTTGTGTTGAATTCGGTGGGCCATTGTTTAAATTAGGACGCTAATGACCTTTGTACAGCATAAATAAGAATCGCAAGGTAAAACTTGAATCAGGCACTGGAGCCCCCGGTCAACATCGCGTCTTGAGCGCGTTCTGCATAATATTGTGAGAGGAGACGTCAAAAATTGATGGTGGCACTCACTCAGATCCCATTCTTCCACCTTATCCCGTCGCGCCCACGCCCATGCTGCAATGTCCTCAAGAGTGGTGTCTCCGCGAGGGAACGCGGCGAAGTTGAACTGGTTTGCAAACTTTTGCACCTCTGCAGTCTTTCGCAGATCGTTTAATTTGCCTCCCCCGGCATTGACGAAACCCTTGATCGTCTTGCAGAATGTCCTGTGCGGGAACTGCGGATCCTGCAATCGAGTTCGTTTAAGCTTCGGAGACACATTATAAAAATCGAGGTGTTACCTTCCAATCCTGCTGCTGACATTTCGCGCTGCAGTATCCTGGTATGGCGCATCCACCGCACTTTCGGAAGGAATTCCCAATTTCCTGGAAAGACCAGGGGCACCCGACCACAAAGCAGTAGCGTTGGCGTTTCAAATCGGCGATGAATACGATCAGGTCGAGCAATCCTCTCTTGGTATTTGGTGGTGCAACGACGGGAACACTAGTGATAGCTAGCGCGCGGTGGATCCTACGAGGTTGGACAGCGTTGGGGGAGAACTGGACGACGAGGTTGCAGAAGGTCGTCACGATTGCATCGACATCCTTGCTGGTTACCGGAATCAAGTTCAACGCGGGGGATCGAAGTAGCTGGATCGTCTCGGAAAATATCGTCCAGAGTTGAGTCTCGTGCCCCTGCGCCCAGAACATGATGCTGTTCTGTGAGGTGCGGGTAGACATGACCGCGTGTAGGAAATCACGGAACCCGGTCCAGGGATTGTCGCCATCCACTGGCCTTCCACGCCTATCGTCTTGAATGTGTCTATTTATTGCCTTCATTGAGATGATGAGCTGTCTCATGAAGACGGGGGAGGCCGTGAGCGCAATGAACAGAGGTCTGCCACAGATGGGCAATGCCGGGGCGAAGACTTGGAGGGGAAGGGCGGGCTCGTCTAAGACGATAATCCACTGGCCCATCGCTGTGACAAACGCTGCCGGACCGAAGGGTACGATGTCGTCCACGGATTCAGGCCAGCAATTGCCTCGTCCTTTTGCTACTCTATCGCTACTTGCCTTGGAGATTCGGGCTCTGAGAAGGTCGAAAAGGTATGCAATGAACACAGCGCTCGGTGCTCTAGCGGCCCATCTCTCCGTCAACGCCTCCCTACCGAGCTCATGGAACAGCATAATGAGCGGAACCGAAGCATCGGCGCAGGTGCACTCCGATAAGTGCGCCATGACCGCCGACAGCTCCTGGGAAGTCCTAGGGATTGTTACAAATGAGATTGTGGCCCTGCAGAACGATGCGCGCAAAGGATTGAGTAGCGCCGCCTCGGCCGGGGTTTCTTTCCGCGGCTTGCCGCCGATCGTGAAGTTATCGACAGATAGGCAACAGCCAAGGAGGCATGTGGCGCAGTGTTTCGGTTCTTTCGCGTCCTCGATGGAGCGAGTGAGGAACTGTAGACACCGATAGACATCTTGAATTGTGGGAGGGAGGTACAGCGCCATGAGTGGGTGGGAAGAAGGCCTTCGTGCGTGGCGCCGGTAATTGCCTCCGTGTTGTCATTTGCTGAGTGATGTAGATTCTACTGATTTCAGGGACACTTTGGAATCAGAACGAAGAAGGAAGACGTCGCCAAAGCGTTGGCCAATGGCGCCTAGGCTGCTTAAGCGTCGGGTGATGGCGGAAACTGACATACTGATGATCGGGCGATGGCGGGATGTCGCGATGGCGGTTGAACCTCGAGCGCTGAACATTGAACATTGGATATTGGATGCCTGCGTCTTTCGCCCTGATTTTGGCGTTAATGCTAATAAACTCAACCGTATCTGTGACGATAGCCTATGTCTCCTATTTGCCATTTGGCGTCGAACGGCAATAAGGCCTCGGCCCCTCATAAATGCGGCGGCTACACACTTCTCCGTCTTCATCCATAATCCCTAGACACAATCGACCGGAAGATTATGCGTAGTCTCCATTACGGGGAGTAAATTGGCGGGGTCTATTGCGCTCCACGGTTCAACACTGATAGTAAATTAATATAAAGAACGCTACTAGAGCATCCAGCACATCAATTCAAACCCCAGACGCGATGGAACTTTAATTCTAGAAAAAACGTGAGATTCTGACGGGTGGATTACATGGACCGAGAACTCACATCGAAATGAGGAGATCCGCGAAGAGAGCCATAAGGCCCACCGCTAAACCGAGGATGCAACACACCGAAATGGCCGTTTTTTTGAACACCCAAGAGACACTTCGGAAAGTTCAGACGAAGAGGTAGAGAGTCAAATGTTATAGTGCTCACCAATAAGCCACACCCGTGATCAAGGCAAGGGGGCTGGAGAGAATAGTCAAGGCCAAAACAACTCCGGGGTGGCAAAGGTATCCTACATAATAAACAAGCCCCATTTGGTTGTGTGGAACACGAAACTGCCCAACCTGACGGAATTATTAGTGGTGCACTCTACACGGGTCACTGAAGAATGACTGACTGTTTGCACCACCGTGCAGCGCGTGCTGCGAGCCTGGTTGAGGTTAATGTGAGAAACAAGAAATAAAATGACGGCACATGCCTGCCGGAGAACGATTTCTTGTCGCTGGCGACTGTCGAAGAATCTTTTTGATCGTTGCCGGTGGCCGGCGCCGACTCCGCCTGCGTCGAGTTGGCCGGGAGGGACGTGGTGGCCGAGGTCATAAATTTGAGGGGTTTCCAGGATTTCTCCTGTGAGTTCACACTGGCTAATGTATCGTCGGCTCCTGACCGTCTGTCATGAGATACAGTAAGTGCTTGAGTCTAACCTTTCACGCCGAAGGTAGAACATACCGAAGCTTGTCAGCCTGTTGTCCTCCACAGCGGAAAAAGACCTGAGCTTTGCAGAGTGTTTTTAACACTCGAGCCCCGAGAGACGGTCTCTGGCTCTTGCGAGGCACAGCATCTGTGCAGATCTTTTCCTTGAAAGCCGAACTTGTGTTGGCTGGATCGGGTTTTTTAAGCTTCGAGCCGAATACTGCCCTGATGGACGACTTGAGACTGTCCTTGCGGGCCAAGGGAGGCTCAGGATCGAAGTATGTGGGGACCTTTTCGCATGCCAGTGATTTCGAGTTGACTTGCCGCATCTCGCTTGAATTCTTTTTTCGCAGACCGAAAGCCATTGAGATTAATCTGGTTAGGGAATATCGATGGGGGGGAGGGGTTGTATGATGCAGATAGAGTATAGAAGTAGTCGCTTTATCCCTTTCGGCTGGAGAACAAGGGTGGTGTGGTATTGTCCATATTTCGTATTTTTTCTTGTGTCTGTCCCTTGGCCCACACTTTGGCCACAGTGCCTATGCAACCAGCTGTTGTGTTTGGCGCCCCGACCTTGTGAAAGGCCCCATATATTTCAACAAAAAAACAAACATTGTGTAAGATGCGCCCACATTGTGGCCACAGCGTGTAAGACACGCTGACTGTTTCGAGGACTCGAAATAGGGGGTTGAATGACGTCGTGGAATCCAAGTAACACCAACTTAATTCCGAGGATTTGTCTCCAGAACCTCCGAGATATTTGCTCCTATGATATATGGAATCCTGAACGGTACGGAGGTGTTGCTACCCGGACTCAGCCCCGACGGTTCAAATCAACCAGTAACCCAATTAGGAAGGAGGCCAAGCCGCACCAAATACCGCTTCGTCCTTTTCCTCAAACCTCCACCATGGCATTCGACCTGCCGCAGACGTCGCACTACATTCTCCTGCGCACCTCCCCGCCCGTGGGCGAGCTCGTGCTGCGCCAGGCCCTCCAAGACGCCCTCGCGCAGGCCTTTGGTCTTACAGGCGGCGCGCACCTCGACATCCTGTGGGTTGACCAGTCTGCAGGAACGGCAACGGCGACGGGCAATCCTACTGGGCGCGGCCTCGTCCGTGTCTCCAACGGGTATGTGGGCTGTTTGCACTTTCTGTCTACCGGTGTTCATGGTGAATTCAGGGAAGACGCGACGCGCGTGTTGGCAGCGATCGTCGCGTCGTCGGCTGCGCCGCGGATGGAGCTGATCAAGGCCTCGACTTTCTTGCCCTCCCTGCTAGTGGATGACACGCCGCTGTGATCTCCGCGTCAACTGTCCCGATTCGAGTTCTTGCTCGTTCTACGGACTGGCCAAGACTTTTTGCGGCCGCGCACTGACGAAACCGTGCCGCACGAACATGCCCTGGGCCTTGGTTCCCGAATGTCGGTGTCGGCGCCCCGTATGAAGAACGGGCCCACCCTACTGATGTAATTCATGCGAGAATTTTCACCTGTGTTGTAGTGCTATACCACCCACCAATTGTTGCAGTCCCCGTCGTGGTCGTGTCCCCTAATCCTCACCGTACTCACCATTCCTCCTCCGCCGCTTTGACGGGCACATTCATTCCTGCATCTGCCTTCGGAGCGTGGCATTATGCTTCTGGGCATTCTCTACATTCATTCCTTGCGAGAATAAGAATCATCACATTCATTTTTTGGTGCGCGCGCACCTTCGTTGACGGGAGTCTCCATCCCTCGGCATCAAATTTAGATTGGCCTACAGTATGGCTTTTGGTGAACCCTTCCGCTATCAGCTCATTCTCAAGCTTGTCCAACTTATTAAGTAGACGAGCCCGTAATTCTGCGCGCGGAAAAAAGAAACTGGAAATATATTATGACCTAACCCCGAATCGAACGGAGGCTTCCTGCTAAACATGTGATAACAAGAAACCAACTAAAGCAGACGTGGTACCAACTCCACTATCAGGTCGTCCAATGAGAGGAATGAGACGGATAAGTGGAAATAGAGAGATAAATAAATGTTCAGAGTACGGACACTGAATCCAAGATAGATTATTATGTAATGTGGACAGCTGCACAGTTTTGTTTGAGAGCCGAGACAGCTTGGGATGCAATATTATGTATGGGTGTCTCTTTGATAGATGGGCCCTTGAAGAAAGGAAAGAAGAAGAAAGAAAAAAAACATCTTTATGACCTGACCTCAAATCGAACGGGGCCTCCCGCCAAATGTATATTTTTCACCGGAACTAGAAACTGGCATGGTACCAACTCCACTATCAGGCCTGTTCAATTCATGGGAATAAGATATATAAGTCGAACTCGGTCAGATGAGTGCCCAGTGTTCAACCTACACTGCAAAATAAATCATCAATGTGCACACTTGCGGGTTAGTTTCAAAGCTCGGGGTAATATATGCCGTGGTCAGGAGGGACGGGAGACATAGTTGATAGAAGAAACTAAAAATTAAAAAATCAGTAGCATCCATGCCATGACCTGACCCCGGATCGAACGGGGGCCTCCTGCTGAGAGAGTCTTGTGCTTAGTTTATTTAAAGCAGGTGTGGTACCAACTCCACCATCAGGTCTTCCCAGTGTAGGGAACGGACTGTATAAATCCAAGTGGTCAAACCTTGACCCTATCTACTTAGACTCCAAAATAAATTACAGTGCAGCTCATTCGGGTTTCACGCAGTCCTTTGAGGGAAAGTCAGTGAGCTGCGGTCGGGTTGAATGAAAAAAGAAAAAGTGAAAAGAAGGGGGAAAAAGGAAACACATGCATCCATGCCATGACCTAACCCCGAATCGAACGGGGGTCTCCTGCCGGGACTACTACAAATATGTTATCTAAAGCAGGTGCGGTACCAACTCCACTATCAGGCCTTCCCAATGCAGGGAATGGGCTGTATAGATGGAAGTGTTCAAACCTTGATCCTACCTACTTAGGCTTCAAAATAAATTCCTTCGGGTTGCAGGCAATCCTTAATTTTTGAGAGAAGTCGGCGAGCTGTGGTTTGGGGAGGACTCTTGAATGAAAAAAAAAAGAGGAAGTGGAAAGAAAAGAAGGGGAAAAAAATCAGAATTGACGAAAGATGAATGACCTGACCCCGGATCGAACGGGAGTCTCCTACGCAAAATCCCCTACTTGTGCTAGGTACTAGAGGTAGGCGTGGCACCAACTCCACTATCAGGTCTTCCCAAACCCTTGAACTGGGGTGGATATAATGCGTAGATTTAGGACTGCGGAGTCTGGATCTACACTCGCCGGGAGTAAATAAAAATATTATCCCCGAGCCTGACTCTGAGGCCGAGAAGTCCAACTTCCTCTTCGTCAGTCGATGCGGGCTGGGAGCCGAGTTTTCTCGACGCTGCCGGTGGACGAAAGAAACAGAAACAGAAGTTGTGCTTTTCGACATAGACGTAGAGGTTGACAGGTTCGACCCCTCTCTGAGTCCGCGATCTGATTACTTATAAGTTATATGTCGGTGCAGACGCCCCGCGTCCGCGTCCGCGCCCGAGCCGCGAGAATTGAGTTTATTCATCCGTACCTGTGTCTGTATCTGTATCCTACTCACAAACTCGGCTGCACTCACCTCGACTCGACCCGACTCAAACTCGACTCTACTCACCTCAACTCGCCTCTCCTCTCCTCTCCTCGACTCCACCGAGCTATAGCTATAGCCATATAACCCACCCCATCGATCATTACAGCAGTCTACTCCCTCCATCTGGTCCGTCGACTGGGGGGAGGAATGCGCGGGGAACGAGGGGGTGGGGCGGGCGCGGGGCGCGGGACGAGGTTGGAGGAGGACGGAAGGTGAGGGAAGGGAGGAAGTCGAAGTCGCGTCGAAGTCGACCCTCGATGCAATGGTTGAAGGTAAGGTGTAAGGTGCGCCGCGGGATAAAGCTGATATAATAAAGATGGGACTTGAGAGAGGCGGACTGGGATGAGATGAGATGCTACGTAGTTTGCACGCTGCGTTGCGGAAACGGTGGACCAAAAAACGACAGCGGCACGAGGAAGACGGGGACGTGAGCAGCGAGAGCACGGGGACGGATTCGGGGTCGAGGTCGAGGTTGAGGTCAGGCGAGCCGAGTGGTCGCGTGAATGTGTTGAATCTCGTGGCCAACCGAGGTGAGGATAAGGTTGAGTTAAGGTCGAGTATTAGTCCCGCATTGTCCGCGGCGCGCGGGGGTATTTCTGAGGCGGCGTCGCCATATTTCGGATGCAACGCGGTGTTGATTACGATACAGCGAGCGTCGGTCGAGAACCGAACATGGATTTCAGGGTCAGGTAGGCGGGCGGCGCGGGGAAGCATCAGTCATCGCGAAGTTCAGGGGCTTGGAGACGCGATGGTAGTTATGGTGGTTGCGAGTCGGAGTCGCTTGCCGCAGCAGCGCGAGAGAACTTGGACGCGCAGGTGCTTCTTCGAAGAGCAAGAAGGAGTGGGAGGGCGAGGGCGAGGGACAGGGGCTAGGGCGGAGATTAGCGTTTAGTGTTAGGCACACTATTGGCCTTGGGTGGGAATCTTAATGATGGACCTGCTGCGGGCGGAGGTAGCATCGGATGTCATTGTCGTTGCATCAGAGTTAGCGATGCAGGGGCGGTGTGTGGTGGGAACGGAGGGTTTGCGCCTGTTCGTGAGTACGCGCGGCGCGGTGTGTTGTCGGCAGGTTGAGCAGACGGACGCGGCCGAGGGAGGACTGTGCATCTCAAGATGTCGCCGCCTCGGTGACGTCACCGGCATAGCTTATTTCATTCATTTTGGCATCGCCTCCGAGACGGCCGGAAATAGGTGTGGACCCGTGAAGATCGACGTGCGCCGCAAGTAAATACTTGGCAAGCACTGTAAATTTAGGCCTCCACAGCACGGCGGGGATAAGGGCTATAGCTAGCGTACTTAGTGGCGCGCCTCGAGGTGTCGCTCGATCGTATTAATTTCATTCCGAGTGTCGCCATTGAAATTGGATACGAAACCATCTTGTCAAACACAAAAACAGACCAAACCCGTTTTGCTCGTGCCTCGCTCTTGCCTCGTTTCGTCTTCGTCTCGATCTACTCTTTTGGCATTTGGTAGCGGCAGTGGATGGCCGTGCATGGCTGCACTCTACCTGCACAACTCGATATGGGGCCCGCCGTCCCCCGACGCCCGTGCCCCCGCCTACAACCCCCATCCACACAGCCGCGGCCCGTCTGCGGCGTCAATCCCGATGCGCGAATCGGACGTGGGGAATGCAAGCGCGGAGCCGCTGCTCGGGAGCGTCGCGTACCTCGACCTCCTCGCCCGCCAGCCCCCGCACCCCGCCTCCGCCGCCGCCGCATCCCCCGCCCTCAGCCTCAGCCTCGCAGGCGACCCCGCGACCGCCCGCGAGCGCAAGGGCGCCTCGGACACCCGCGTGCGCCGCCGCCTCCGCCGCCTCAAGGCTGCGCTCGCCGCCCTCGAGCTCCTTATCCGTGCGTCCCCTCCCCCTTCTGCCTTGCTTGCTGCGTACTGAGACGGAGGGCAGTCTGCTGGGCGCTCTACACCGCCATCCGCTACTTCCTCGCCTACGCCCAAGCGCCCGCGCCCCCGCCGCCCGCGGCGCTCGCCCTCGGCGCCGTCAGCACCGCCGCCTTCGTCTTTCTCCTTGCTGCCGTCATGCTGCCCGTCCTCCCCCTCCCGGCCCCGCCTATCATCCGTGCTATCCTCCGCGCGCTGGCCTCGCTCTGCCTCCTCGGGCCCGCTGCAGTGAATCTCGCGCTGGTGCTTGTGTGGAAGGGCGAGGGGTGCGCACCGGACATCGACGTCGTATGGGTCCACTGCGTGGGGGCAGGCGGGACGACGTTCCTCGCGCTCGCGGTAGTGAGGCTCGTGCTCACGTTTGCAGTTTTGGTGCGTTTCTTCTCTTCTCTTCCTTCCCTGCTCCCTTCTTGCCCCCCCGCTTGCTCCCTATTTCGTCACTACTGCTTCCCTCTCCTCTCCTCTCCTCTTCGCGTGCTCTGGGATTCTCTCCTCCTCCTTCCTGTCTGTTGTTCTTGCGCTTGCCGTCGCTCCCCCGCAATTCGGATCCCCGGCCAGCGCCGGGATGGTGGGGCGAGCTGCTCGCGAGCTCACGGCGAGCGGCAAGGAGGCTCACGGCCGGCGGCAAGGAGGCGAGCGCCGCAGGCATACTCTCCTGCGAGCTCACGGCGAGCCGTAGGGATTGCCGGCGTCCTCCCCCGAGCATTAACGAGCGCCCTTGCGAGCCAGAGGCGAGCAAGTCTCCCCTGCCCGCGCCGCAGGCATACTCACCTGCGAGCTCATGGCGAGCCGTGAGGAGGCGGTGGCCGCGAGCATAAGCATTGACCTCTGCATCCGAACCCGCATCCGAATACGCATCCGAATACGCGCCGGCCCTTCGTGCGTGCCGGGGGCTGTAATCCAGAACGATGGATGCGCGCTCCGCAATTCTCTTCCCTTCTCTCTCCATCTCCGTTCCTTTCCGTTCCTTCCCTTTCTTTCTCCTCTTTCCCTTTCCCTTCCGCCTCCGCCTCCCCCTTCCCCTCTTATCCACCTCCTACGCACGCTAACCCGCCCCACAGACATCCTACCACCTGACACGTGCGCTCTACCGCCGCACGCGGCGCCCCTCCTTGCCCTCCTCGCCCTTCTCCTTATTCTTCCCCACCTCCGCGCACGGGCACGCGCGCCCGACGTCCTCGCTCTTCTCGCTCACGCGCAACTCGTCTGCCTACGGGACCGGGAGCGCGCGGCACGGCGCGCAGCCGAGCACGTCGACGCTCGCGTCCGGCTCTGCCTCTGCGCCCGTCTCGCAAGCGCACTCGCACCACTCGCCGCCGGGTAATGCAAATGCAAATGCAGGGCGGCGCTCGCTGCGCAGCTCGCGCGCGTCGCGCAGCGCGTCGTTCTCCCCCCCTGCGCATGCGCCGTACGCGCTGCCGTCCGACGGGGACGAGGAGGAAGAGGAGGATGATGGGGAGGAGGGGTGGGCGCCGGGCGAGGAGGGGGGGGAGTTCGACCCGTATGCGGAGCTGGGGGCGGAGGCGCGCGCGAGGCGGGTGCGGCTCGCGGGAGCGGGGGGTGGGGGAAGAGGAGGGGGAGGGGGAAGGGGAGGGGGAGGGGGAGAAGGAACGGGAGGAAGTGGGGGAGGGAGGGCGGAGGAGGACCGCGAGCTCGCGGGGTTCGTGGACCGGTTTCGGGCGCTGGTGGCGCAGGTTACGAGGGAGACGGGGGAGGGGGCGACGCTTCCTTCTCCGTCTGCGGCCGCGGGTGCGGGTGGGTCGGGACACAACGGCAACAGCAACAACAGCAGCAGCTACGCGGCGCCGTACTCGCCGTACGACTACGCCGCGTCGCCGTACGACCCGTACCTCGCCTCCTCCTCCTCTCCCTCCGCTTCCTCGTCGGCGTACGACCCGTACACGCGCGGCGCGTCCGCGTACGATCCCTACACGCGCGGCGACCCGTACACGCCCGCATACGATCCCTACGACCCGTACGCGCCGGGCGCGCAGGACGACCACGTGCGCATCCTGAACGCGTACGTGCGGCGCATGCCGACGATCGAGTCGATGGGGAGCCGCGAGGTCGCGAGTTTGTATCAGGGGAGCGTGGTCGGGAGCGGGAGTGGGGTGGGGAGTGGGGTGGGGAGTGGGGTGGGCGGGGGCGGGGGGAGTGTGTATCAGGGGAGTTTGTACCATGGGAGCGCGGGGACGGGTGCGGCGAGTTTGTACCATGGGAGCGCGGGGACGGGCGCGGGCGCGAGTGTGTACCATGGGAGCACGAGCGCGAGCGCGTCGAGCGGGGGGGCGCCGAGCGTGTATTGGGAGGCGGGGAGTAGTGTTGGGGGTGGGGGCGGGGGCGGGGGCGGGGTGAGGCGGAGCGGGAGTTTGGGGAGCGTTAGCGCGCTTACGATGAGTGGGATGAGCGGGACGGGGACGGGGACGGAGGGGAGCGCGCCGCCGAGTCGGGCGGGGAGTTTTGGTGTGGGGGGGATGGGGATGGGGCTGACGCCGATTGCGCCGGCGCTTGTTGGGGATGGGGGGATAGGCGGGGGAGGAGGGGCGGGAGGGATGAGGCGGAGGAGCGGGAGTGCGGGGAGCGTGGGGGCGCTTAGCATGAGCGAGGGTGGGAGCCGGCCGGGGAGCGTGGCGGGGGGGACGCCCGGGGGGGGTGCAGCTGCGGGTGTAGGAGGGGGAGGGGGAGGGAGTGCG